ATTTTAAAATGGAAAGCTTAACAGCAGTGACCCAGGGAATTGAAAAAGGGGTTTTCATGACATCAATTGATCTGACTAAGGGTTATCATAACGTTGCCCTCCATCTGGACCATCAAAAATTCTTTGCTTTCAAATGGCAACAGGAATTCTACACTTTCAAAGCACTACCAATGGGTCTAAGAGAAGCACCCAGATTGTTTACAATTATCATGAAGGCTTTGCTGAAAGTTTTAAGACAAAAAGGGATCCAAGTATATGCATATATTGATGACACAATAGTAGTCGTGCCAACTTTCCAAGAGTGTCAGGAACACACACATATATGCCAACAATTACTACTGGATGCAGGCTTCCTGATTAATGAAGAAAAATCACGCCTAATACCCAATACCCAAAGAAAACATCTTGGATTTATAATCGACAGTGAATCTCAAATGCTGGAGCTTCCTCAGAAAAAATACAATTGCCTACAAAAAGATTTAAAGACCCTCAAGAGCCTCTGCCTACAACAAAAACCAACAACGTTAAGAAAATTTGCGCAGATCCTTGGTTTCCTGCTTAGTTGTATACCAGCAGTCCCATACGGAGAGGCCCATTTTTGTACTTTTGAGAGAGTCAAGACCCAGCTAAAACAGCCAATCATCAATTGGGAACAAAAAATCTGTCTTCCAAGAAATATACTAGAAGAAATCAAATGGTGGAACAACCTCAAACATCCCTGTCAAAAATCTTTCCGTCCTCCTCAAATCACCCATAAAATTACAACAGATGCATTGACCGGAGGGAGTTGGGGAGCTATCCTGGGGAAAACCAAAATCTCAGGGATATGGAGACCAAACAATCAGGACGCAATTGATCTCCTCAAACTAAAAGTCTTGCGTTTAGCTCTTGAAACCTTGGAGGGAAAAGGAATAAATTTCCACAAAGCCTACATTGTTTTTCAAGTGGACAATACAACAGCGGTTACATATACCAACAAAGCCGGAGGGATGGTTAACCGTCTTAATACTGAGGCACAACAGCTATGGAAATTCCTAGAGAAACACCAAGCCTTAGCAAAAGCCGTCTATATCCCATCGGCAAAAAATCCAGCAGACAAATTGACAAGAATTTTAACAAGATACAAGGCAAAACATCTTGATGCTGAATGGCAATTGAAGAAACAATATTTTGAGAAAACATGCAATCATTTCAAAAGTTACCCAACAATCAATTGGTTTGTGACTGAGTTAAATACGCAAATACCAAGATTTTGCTCATGGTACTACGAGTCTCAAGTAGCATGTACAGATGCTTTATTACAAAACTGGAGAGATGAAATTGGCTTCTTCTTTCCTCCATTTGCACTACTAACCAGGGTCATCCAAAAACTAAAAGACGACCAAGCAACAGGGATCCTCATACATCCCAACTGGCCATCTCAACCCTGGTGGCCTCAACTGCTGCAAAACTGGAAAGCTTTCCTGGACCTTCCCAGCCTAGCCGAAACACTTACGCTTCCGCAAAACCCAACTGCATGCCATCATCTTTGCAAATCAAGCCTACAGGCATCTCTTTTTCAAAGCAGCAGTTAGACCATGTTGTACAAAAAACAATCGCAGTGGCAAGAGCTCAGACTACGCAGAAACAATACCAGAGTATTGTAACAAAGTTTGAAAAGTTTGCCAGCCAAAATGGACAAAATGTACAAAATACGACCTCGGATACTTTCTTGAGATTTTTGGCCGTATATACCGCTGTACCTCAAAAATACTCGTTTGGATATATACAACAAATGAAATCAGCAATTACACAATGGTTTGCTGACAACAGAAGAGAATTGGTCATTGACCAGCAGAAGTTGGAAAAGTTCATGAAAGGAGCCAAAAGAACATCCAAAAATTTCAAGCCAAAAACTTCTGTGTGGGATGCGGACGTTGCTTTAAAAAACATTTCTCAGTGCCAACTCCCAATTTCCATATTGGAGCAAGCAAAAGAAACTGTGCTCATACTTGCCCTAGCAACAGGACTCCAAGTAGATGACATCTCTAAACTCGGAAAAGATTATTGGGAAGAAGGAAATGATCTATTTATTCCGTTTCTAGAAATGCAAAAAACGTCAGCAGCAACACAACAAACAAGACCAGGAATTTGTTTAGCGCCGTATACTACGAATCAACGCATTTGCCCAATCAATCTTGTAAAAAGATATGTACAAATGACGCAATTCAAAAATCGAGCCTCCTTTTTGTTTGTTTGGGCCGATAATGGTCAAAGAGTGCAAAAAGCAACACTCTGTCAATGGTTGATAAAAATCCTGGCGGAAATTGGCATCAATGATACGCCAGGATCAACAAGATCCGCAGCTGCCAGTTTTGCATGGGCCAAAAATAGATCGTTTGACTCCATTGCAAAACTCACAGGGTGGAAACAGGAAACAACCTTCCAGAAGCACTACAACAGACAACTTACAAGGAGGGGGCAAAACCTTATGGACCCCCCAACACCCAGCAGCAGCTGCGCCCCAGGCACTTCCCGTCAAAAGGCCATAGAGGGACCAAAAATAGATTTAACAGCGCGTTTTTCTCAAAAATCCGACAACTTTACGACCGGATCTCAGCAATAAAATCATTTGAGAAAGGAAGAGGAAAATAGTGCCAGTCCCCGAGGACGCAATTGCAACAAGAACTAGAGCACGCATGTCGAATTGCAAAATGGCGGAAAAGTGACAAGCAATTTACGGCTGCAGCTGTGTTGGCGCAAAGTGTCAATAAAAATTGTGTTTGCCCTAGAATTTGGGAAGCATTGCAGATTTCTTTTCCCATGGAAAAAAAACAGGTATACAACCTACAAAATAGGGATAAGATACAAAAAATCTCGGACTTGGTTCCGATTCTAAAGATTTGCAGTAAAGAGAATTAGTTAGGGTGTAGTAACAAACCCCCAGGCAAAGGCACCGTTGGCCTGGGGAACGTTACTACTTACCTAACTCAATTCTCTTTACTGACCCAAAATCAATTATAATCCCGACCCACCCAAGAATTGAAAGCGGATCCATGTCCGAGATCCCGCTAAATATCTGAGGGTGGGGGATCCTGGTAGGAACCTATGGGACAGTATTCACAGTAAAGAGAATTGAGTTAGGTAAGTAGTAATGTTCCCCAGGCCAAGGGTGCCCTTGCCTGGGGGCTTGTTTCATTTTCAGATTTCTGAAATGTTTTGTGCTGGAATTTTTTATTCAGCAAAACTGGTAATAACGAATTTTTGTATGCTCCAGAATGCCATTTTTTTAACCCAAGTGTGTTCGCTGAGATAGGAAACGAATAAAACATTCCAATTTTTAAAATAGCGATCAAGGCAACGATCCAATTAATTCTTGCCCTTGAAGTTGTCGCCTGGAGGTTTGTTGCGTCCATTTGATTGTGTCATGTTTTTTTTGTCTAAATTTATATGGAGTACATTACCACAATTGAAGTTATTGCCACGTCAATAAATAGAATGTGACTTAAAAGTGACGGACTTTGATGAAGTTTCCTATCACTCCATCTCTCACTCACAATACTCCGAACTCTTAAAAAAGCACAGGCGCGGGTTAAAACCTAAAATGACGGACCAGGAAATACTTTGAAATCAATAATGTTGGTCAAATGGACGGATTATGATATATTTTGCCGCTAAAATCATAAAATGGTGTTCGAGTAAATAATTTTTCCATATGTTGTAATTGTAGTTTGATTGGCATGCTGGAATTTTCGTTGAAAAAAAAAGAACTCAAAAAGGCAGCTCACGTTCCTGCATAGGTTGTGTTGGATGGTAAATCAACGAAGGGTTTCTAAAATTTTTAAATAAAAATCCTCTTAGACTTAGAGAGGGCCCTTTAAATGTAAGTTTAATATCCAAAAAGGAGTCAGAACAATGAAAACACAGCGCTGCCGGGCAAGAGGAATTCCTCCAACAAGATCAGAACACACACGGCGGCAAATGTCTCAAGAAAATTTCAAAAGACACAAGATCCTTCCTATGTGAAACTCAGAATAATGTGATAGCTCAGAATAATAAAATTCTATGCTTTGGGAGTCCAAGCTCTGAGCATGTCTCTCTCCTTTCTTTCTTGCCACTGGTTTGCCTCCAAGTATAGCAAACCAGTTGAGCTGAAGGGACTTCCTGCTGCACACCCACTGCCAAATACGAGTCTCTGACATCATACTGCCGCCGGCATTTGTCCTTTGGTTGCCTGGCTTCATCTTGTATCAACCCAAAACAGATTGCTGGAGCGTTTATAGTTTTGTTGCCTTCCGAATAATTTGTTCATCAAGTCATTGTCAAACAAAACAAAACAAAAAACCAAACACAATAAGCAACCTATGATACTTGAATTCAAACTGTTTGAAGGAGTTTTTTCTTCAAAAATGTCGGCATTGAATGCATGATATTTGCGAAGATGAATGAAAATAAATGTCGACACTCGACAGTGGCGTAATGCAATTATAAAAATTAGTATGTTTAATTCGTTTCCTATCTCAGCGATAATGAGTCTTTGAACACTAAGGTTAGAAAATAGCATTCTGAAGCATACGAAAATTCTTTATTAGGATTTTTGCTTGAAAAATTCCAGCAAAAAACATTTCAGCAATCAGGAAATGAAACTGATTGCATTTGAGAAGCAGCATATGCCGAACGAGTTGGTTACCACTCTTATCAAACATCTATACAGAATTCTTACAAAGAAAATAGTTCCGCACAAAAATACCGCTCACATTCTCAAAGAAATAACTGGACTGAACATTTCTTTGTTCAATTCTAACAGCATTTTATTCACCCTCCGTGAATTATTTTCAAATTTATTTGTTCGAGTATAATGTTTTCAGTCCACCTGCTTATAATAAGGATACTCCAGATCAGCGGAATAACAAAACTTCCGTCGTGCTTTTCATTGAAAAAGACGCACTGTAATGATCATCTCATGCACATCGCAGATACAACAGATCATTGTATCTTGACCAATGATCTGTTCTGAAAACTTATTGTTGATGACGATGATTCTCTTCCAACAGCAAATGCAGCATATATTTCTGGAAATATGCAGCAAAAAAATGAAAATAAAATGCAAAGAAACTTCAGAGTCACTTGAGCTTTCATTTCAAAATGCCATTCGATGTTTCCCTCCTCGACATGAACAAGCAAACAGGAATATGCAGACACGTCAGAGTACAAAATAAAAACGTTTCCACCCGGGTTCGCAACAACCAGGTCCTCATCAGAAGGACGTAAAAACACGCTGAACTAGAAGCAATTTTTCAAGAAC